AAAAAAAAAAAAAAAAAGAAATTCCGGAGGCAGTAGTGTCGCTGTACAAAGGAGTGCTTGCTAGCAACGGTTCAACTCCCTCAGATGATAGACAAAATTATCATCATCATCTTCTTCATTAATCTTCTTATCCCACCTATCCTTGCTTGAACTTGTTATGGGGTTTACGCGAGGATCATAATAGAATGTAGATTGGTAAGGGTCATCACTTTTCGTGTACATTACCATGGGAGTGTGATAGACACTAAGCTTTACATTCCTTGGTCTATTATTATAAAGATATGGGAATGCAATCCTGTACTCTTTCCTCAAAGGAGAGCGGATTATGAGCTTATTTATGTCATTAAATTCATTCCAGTCCTCATCTTCTGTCACCGTATCACGGAACAAAGGCTCAAACCTAGGACCCCCTGCAACAACAATAGTTTTAAGAAAGATTATCACCTCGCATAAGGTAGCACTTTGATATTTTGCTAGTCATCCTAATAGCCATTTGGTATAGATATATATATTAAAGAAATGGCATGTATTGTCTTACTTGGAATCCTAAGTCATTTGACAAAAAAACATGCATTATATGAAACACAGCAATATGACATGTATGCGCAGAAAACAAATTAGAAGCACAAAAACTGAGCATCTAGCATACCATGGATGCACATGTTTAAAGCTTTCGCTGTGAGAAATGACTCCATGTTGAACAGGTGGAAATAATTGCAATCAACCAGATTTGATAACAATTGCTCGGAAGCTCGGTACAATGTTGCCATAATCCGGAGAGGGAGACGCCATTTCCAGTAACTAGGTCCTTTAATGAACTCTGTCCCCACAAGCGGTTTGGGATCATAAATCCAATCATAATGCGCTGAATTATCTCTCAAAGGACTAAATGGAACCAAAGACCTAAAACTAAAAATTGATTGATGAATTGGCTATATAGGATCCACATCTAGAAGGTTATCAGTATAGTCTAATGGAGGCTCCTCATCATCAAATGGTGGAAAACGCATTATTTGGATACTGGATAGGTATCTCTTCGCTGTTCTTTTTTATTTGCTCACTCCGCATCGACCTTCTCATTAGAGTCCACATCGTACTCCACTGCAATTATTTCCAGTTTATGAGATTACAAACGCGAATGGTACAGAATAAATATAAGTATAGAATACAAGAAAACCAGATACGCTTAAAATTCACAACACCTGAGCCAAATAAATAGGTTCAACAACCCATGGGATTTCATTGACCAATGTAATTGCCCCTGTATGTATTATGGTACAGGACCTTCACTTGACGAACCTAAAAACAGAGAAACTAAAGGTATCACAACATTCAGAAAACAACAAACAAAATTACAACTGATATAATCAGAAATTCATATTCTCGATAAATTTGTACACAGCATGAGGTAATAAACTGAGAGCTCCTAATACAAGCTTGTCATGGCAAAATTTCTTTGATGTCAGATCATCAAAGTCCCTGCAGAGAAGTACACCGATCAATCCAAACAAAGCTAAGGAAGAAAGAAAGCAATGACTTACAGGAGTCGAACTACTCAAATCAGAAACATATGGTGCAATTAAATTACTCACGAGTCATAACCAACAGTGGAAAATTCAGAACATAAATGAAGAACAGCAAGGTAACCAAAAACAACACCTTATGAGTTTTCTGAGATGTTCGGGAGGCATATCTTCCTTCTGCTGGTTCAATTGAAGTCCAAAACGCTCAGCGTTAAGTTCCATCCATTTTCTCGATCTTTCGTCAAACTGAGATACAGTAGGAACAACAGTGTACAGAGGGCTGCAAATTCACTGGAGGTTGAACAGGCAGTGCTCCGCTGGTCCCAGGCGGAGCCGGATTACTCATACTCATGCTGAGAAATTTTTCAGTCAACATTTATCGAATACATTGCAAATTTACAGATAAATGTTGACTCGAGTGTGGAGGGTTTGGGGGCGAAGGGTTTACTTGTGATTTGATTTTCTTTTTATTTTTTTTTTTCCCCAATTATTGATTTCCTGAACGAGAGGGACTCGGGCTTTTCAAGTCATGTTGGGCCATTGGGCCAATAGTCATCCATAATATACCACCCATTGGGGGCCATACACTATCCTCTTCTGATATATATTAATTATTTTTTGTAACATCTGATGAGTATTTCCGTAACTACTCAATTTTATTACTACAATGTATATTTAAATGCAGAATATGCGGCGCTTACCAATCAATATACTTTATATTATATTTATACACCTAATAAATATTTATTTGCAACTCTATAAATTCATCATATTTATTTGCACATATACCAGATTTTCAATTTTATTATTACGAAGAATAAATATAGAAAAAGAGATATATTTATAACTGCTCCCTAACATCAAGGAATTAACTCTTTCTTTCTGTTGGGGCATTACTACCGCCTCCGTAGTTAGTCCTTCTACCGGCATGCAGAGAACTTCAGATCGCCAGAGATACTGGAAGAAAACAAGAGGTTTAGGAACCGGAAAGCAGAGAACTTCAGATCGTCGGAGATACTGGAATAAAACGGAAGGTTTAGAAGAGAGAATTCGCAGATGAGTGAGGAATTGAATTGTCTGAGTGGCATTTGCGACAATATATGGAATCTGATGTCTAGCTACGCGGCGAATCTGGGCGAGGATAGGAGGGTGTCGCTAAAATCGCCGAAGACGCATGGCGTGGCCGAGGAGGGAATGTGCCCTAGGATATTTGGAGTCTCGATAGGCGTGAAGCGACTGCGGTGCGAGGACCGGACCATGCTCCACAGTGGGCAGCAGGACGAATCTGAAGCGTTGAATCATGGGATCAGCAGCATCGACGGCCCAGATTCTCCTAAAGATTGATAAATTGTGATCTTTGCAAAAAGACAGCAAAAAATGCACCACTTTTAGGGTTGTGATCCGAAACACCCCTTCGGCCATCTTTTAACTATTAAATCATGAGGAGCCCTTTACGCCCAGTCATTCCCCGGT